AAGTAAATGCTTAATACGATTGAATCATAATCCTGGACCTTTATCTCAATTTACGGATGAAGAAATTTTGATGAAAGAAAGCGGTAATTTTTGTTATTATCAAATATTTATCAATAAATTGTTTTTTTGTGAAAAGCAAATATAATATTTTATTTTTTACTATTTTACTTTTAATTAATTCTTGAAATTGTGTATACGAAATATAATTTATGTAAAATTTCTTAGTTAACAAATTAGCAAAAGAGGAAATTGCTCCGCTTGTACGTAAAATGGAAAAAGAAAGCAAAATAGATGAAGGATTAATACGAAAGCTTTTTGAAAATGGTGTAAGTCTATTATTTTTCACTGTAGTATATTTCACTGTAAATTAATATAGATTTGATTTACATAATCTTAAGATATTTATTTTCTTCGTCTACTTTTGAATGACGCATAATGCCTTTAATAAATTTATTGATAGTTAATGGGTATTGAAATACCAGAAAAATACGGTGGTTCTGGATGTAATTTCATGACAACAATTTTAAGTGTCGAAGAAGTTGCTAAAGTTGATGGATCTGTGGCAGCTTTAATCGACATTCATAATACTTTAGTAAATTCATTAATTAAGAAAGTTGCTACGGAAGAACAAAAAAAAAGATATCTACCAAGATTAGCTCAAGATTACGTAAGTATTATAAAACAATTTATAGATAATTTTAAAATTTATTTCGTAAAATCGAAATATTTCGTAAAAGATTAATCTTATCAAAAAAAATATTCTTACAAAAATTATTTATAAAAAAATATTCTTACAAAAATTATTTATAAAAAAATATTCTTACAAAAATTATTTATAAAAAAATATTGCATTAAAATAAAAATATCCACTATTAATAATTTTTCTATAAATTTCAGATCATGAAGTCAACTTTAATTTTTTAAATAGAATCATAAAATTTTTATTATATTAATCGATATATTTTGTTATTTTCTAAAAAAAATATGTATTAACTTATTTCGAAAAATTTTTAATTTTAGAAATATTTTAACATATTTGCAAAACTTATCATATGAAAGATAACAAATGTGCAAAACAGTACTTCACTGTTTATTCTTTATAATTATATTATATATATAATTCTTTTAATTATACTTCATGTTTTGTACGTTTTATTTTATAACAAAAATATACATATTGTTTTTATTAATTTTTTATTTTTCGAGGCGGGAAGCTTCTGTCTTACGGAACCTGGTTCAGGATCAGATGCTTTTTCTTTAAAAACTACAGCAAAAAAAGATGGATCCGAGTATGTGATAAGTGGAACAAAAATGTGGATATCAAACTCCGATATTGCAGAATTATTTTTAGTTTTTGCAAATGCAAATCCTTCTGCTGTAAGTCTAATACATTCAATAAATAAAAAATAATAATCATGATATATAAAAAATAATTGACTCGACTAAAATTGTTTGATTTTACAATATAAAATATAATTCAAACAATTCATTTTATTTAATTAATTAATGCATCAATGCAAATTATTTTATTCGATTTCAATTGAATCGTTCAATTAATTATTTAAATGTAAGAAATTTGATTTTTAATTAATTTCATAATTTCATTATATTTCTTTTATGGATTATGGTATTTGAACGTAACTTTTGCTGAAATTGATGCTAAATTTTTGTGCATAGGGATATCGTGGTATTACAACATTTTTTGTAGAACGAGATACACCTGGATTGAAAATAGCCAAACCAGAAGATAAATTAGGAATTAAAGCATCGGGTACATGTATGATTCACTTCGACAACGTCAGAGTAAATAAAATAATTTTTTGAATATATATAAAAAAATTGTGAATATTTATTATTTATAAATACTAATTTCTCATATATGATTTCCTCTTGAATAAAGGTGCCTGAAGATAATATTTTAGGACATTTTGGTCATGGATATAAATATGCCGCTGGATTTTTAAATGAAGGACGAATTGGTATCGGAGCTCAAATGATTGGTATAGCACAAGGTTGCCTAGATGCTACAATACCATATACATTAGAAAGAAAGCAATTTGGGAAAGATATATTTTCATTTCAAGTATAAGAGAAAATTCAATTGTTTCTAACATAATGAATAACAAAGTCAAACATTTTTTACTATTTTTTTATTTCTAGTCTATGCAACATCAAATCGCTCAAGTAGTCACTGAACTTGAATCTGCTAGATTATTGGTTTACAATGCAGCCAGATTAGTCGATATGAAAAAAGATGTAATGAAAGAAGCTGCTATGGCAAAATTGGTTGCATCGGGTAATTAATATCTTCTTTTCTTTCTTTTTTTTTTTTATGAAATCATATATTAAAAAAATATCAAGTATAAAATTTATATATTTTTTCTAATGTAGAAACGGCTTTGCGTGTTACTGCAAAATGTATTGACTTTATGGGTGGAGTAGGATTTACAACTGATTTTCCCCAAGAAAAATATTTCAGAGATTCGAAAATCGGCACGATTTATGAAGGAACCAGTAATATGCAATTATCAACAATAGCTAAATGTATTCGTAAAGAATATTCATAAATATTATAATTAATTAAGATTTATTTTATATTTTCTTAACAGTTTTTTTTGTAATTGTTTCATTTTTTATTATTTTTTTATATCTTGTTTACTAAGTTTTGTTTACTAATAAATCTATATTAATCTAATTATTGTTTAAATCCGAATTTATTTCGGATCATGAGGTAATTTAAATCCAACAAGATCTGCAGTTTCTTTAATACTTCGTTCACCTTTACCAGCATATCGGATTTGAATTTCTTTGCACATACGCTGAGAATTTAGGTAACAAAGATATGTTTCTGCTAAATTTTTTAACTCTTCTCGTGCTTTGCACAAGACTTCAGAAGTTTCTTGATGAGATTTTGCTTGTTCCAAAATATACTGTATCATAATATTATTTTTTGCTTTTTGTTCAGATGACGTTCGTCGAATTTCTTGTATGAGCGAACGAAGCAATTTTACGTTTGGTTTCATCTTTCTTCTAATCTATAACAGATAAAATATGTTGTTTATCGATTGATACTTAATACTTTTTGTGCTAAATTTGCATCAAACTGATATTATTATCTTATCCAATTTTTTAGAAATTATTTGATTAGTTATTTTTATTGTAATATATAATTCAATAACTTATAAGAATATAACAGTATATAATAGTATAATTATAATAATATAATAGTATACAACTTAATGATTTATAAAGATTTATTTAATAGTACATAAAAAAAATATAATTACAAATTCTTAGCATCTATTTCTTCAGTTTGTTTAGCAGTTAAATAATCAATTTCAATATCTTGATAGCAAGGTTTTTCTTGTTTGTTCCAAAAACTTTGAGGAATTTTACTTATATTCTGTTCAAGAAATATATGAATATTTAAATCATTGAATACTTCTTCATATATGAAATCATTTTGTAAAACAATTTCTGTTACATATGGTTGTATACGTAAGATATAATCAATAGGACTAGATTTATTTGTTTTTCTGAAATTATCTGCCACAATTGAAAAACTATTTGTTAAAAGAATGCATTTATTTAACTTTTTACACCAATTAGCATAAAGAAAATTATTAATTAAATGTATTGAACAATGTGGCATGTATACTAAAGTAATATTATCACAAATAATGCGTTTGCCTTCTTCATTAATTTGTATAATATTGAAATCAAGTTTTTTTAGAAACTCAATTTCTTTGGAAGAAAAAATTGGATCATATACATAAACTTGAGGATTAAAATGTTTTTTCAAAAACAAAAGTAATGCTAATTGATATTTAGAAGATCTGCGACTAAAAAAATGACCCAAACCATAGCACACTATATCAGAAATACCACTGCCATCTAAAGCATTTAATGAATCTTTCAAATAATGAAAAACATTATCAGCAAATGATGAATTTTTCAGTTCAATTTCAGCCTTTAGCAATTTTCTGAAATTATAAAATTGTTGTAAAAATTTTATATATATCTAAAAAAACATGTACGTAAAAAAATCCTTACCCAAAAACTGTTTCGTAATTAATGTTGTGATCGCCATCACTGTCATCGTTAGTAGATAAAAATGTACTCGAATGGCATATAGTTCGAATCTTAGGTGCACGTTTCTTTCGATTAGTTACGATTTTAAATTCTTCACTGTCTCGCATTTTATATATGTATTCTTACATATATATATGTGTATTCATAATTAAAATAATTCAGTTTTGTATGTGATCATTTTATTACTTACCTACGTAAGTAAAATATTCATATACGCTTCATTATAATTCATATAGCCTATGGTTTAATCACACTTTTGTAATTATAAGAATTGTTATAAAAAATATTCCAAAATATAACTAAGATTAGTAATATAAGATAAGTGAATAAATTTAGAATGAAATGTTATATTAAATTAATTAGAAATAATAAATTGGAAAAAAATTAAATTTCAGGATTTTCATTAATAGATGGCCCTACTTGTCTTCTATAGATGGCGTTACTATATCGTTAAAATAAAAAAATAGCAAATTTTATTAATTTTCAATAACTAATACATTATAATATTTAAGATTATATATCTAATATATATTATATATATATATTTTGTTAAGTTTTGCTAAAATTTTACATTGCTATTGCTTGTTTTGTTTTATTTTGTTTTGTTTTTTAAAGTTTATTATTTATTTTTTATTAAGATTATTCAATCTTTTTTCTTATTCAATATATGCATATATGATATTACTATAAATATTAAAATCTCTCAAAAAATAAAAACACTTACTTACATATAATAAAAATATTTTGTTATATTCAACAACGTATAATAACGAAAATGTTAAACAAGGATATAAAAAATATTATATTTTTTATAATCAGCATTTTTAAATATTTTGATGATTAAAATAAAAAATTATATTTATATAATTTCATATAATTTTATGGTAGATATTTTATATATTTTGAATAAAAAAAACAGAGAAATAAAAAAAAAGAAAATGAAAATTAAATGCTTTGTGCAACAGAGTTCGAATGTGAATACGAATAATACAATCCATAAGATGTGATTACCACAAACAAAATATAGGATAGATACTTATTACCACATCCTATACCTCGTTTCTGGTCGAACGTATGACGTATGCTTTATTCGTTGACAACAAATTAACTGAACGATGAGCCGATCTAAGAACGGTCGAGCAAGCGATTAATAAGTGTGGAGTAACAGTTATGATCGATCGGTATAAATCGACACGGATATGTAAGGAATCCATCGTAATGTATTCGTGCCGATCGATTTTTATCAACAGCGTTTTTAATATACTACGTTACAGAAGAAGAAACGTGACACGTAAAGGTAAAAGAAAAATTATCGCATTGATCATGTCAAATTGAATGCGCGCATCTTGCGATAAATGTAATATATATATATATATATATATATATTGCAAAATAGTGATTTGTTATTTTTTCTAATAGTATTTTTCTAATTGTTAAAAAACAAAAATATTAAACATTAACATCAATGTCTTTTTTCTTTAAATATTTATAATTCATTATCTATTCGTTACCATATTTGTTGTGAATATTAGAAACAGGAAATGTATCGAACTAATATATGTATTTTGGATTTTTTTATTTATTTACAATTTTAACAACATTTTTTTTTTACTTAAGAATTAATTATATTGATTTCTTTAGATCATTCTAAACTTCGGCAATATTATAATTACAAATATATTAAAAATTTTATTTTATTTTTAAAATTAAATATTAAAGTTATCTTAGTCTTTCAGAATCCATATACTAAATTTATGAAACAACAAATATAAATTATCCTCAACTCAAGGGTGAAAAAGTGAAATTTATGTTGAAGTAAGTTAGCAATTATAGAATAATTTTATTCTTATTTTTTACGACGACACATTTCGAAAATTATATATTTGGCCTTATTGATTTTTTATTCGATGTGATTCAGGCGCAAGCGAGTAATACGATATCTACGAGAGACATTTTTTTTTAAAGATGTCTTTAAACATAAGAATGAATAAATGGGCTCCAAAATTGACAATCATCTTTCAGCTGACTATTTGGAGTATCATTGGAATTATACTTCTACAAAAAGGTGTAATCTCCTTGTGTGAAAAGACGAAAGTACGAAATGACACAATTAGCAAACAGGTTCGACATTCTAATCGATTTTGAATATACGATACTACTATAATATTTTAAATATATATAATTAAATTATTGACAAATAATTTAATTATTAATGCAAAATTTTGGCAATATTTTTATAATAATAATTTTTTAATGAAGTAAATATTTAACAATCTATTTAAAATTTAATAATAATAGTCAATTGTAATTAATTCATTATATAATGAACATATATAACAATGAATATATTTGAATATTTAATTTAATATTTTTCATTTATGTTTTTTAAAAATTTATACATACTTTAAAAAAATATATCAAATTAAGAAAATATTCGAGAATACTATTTTCACAGGAAAAGTTAACAAAATGGAATGGAGATGAATTGTTTAAAGAATCAAATATTACAGAAAATCGTTTTAAAATAATAAAATTTCAAATAGACACTCAACGAGAAAACATCACTATTGATAAGCCTAAGAATATTACATCAAATGAACAATGGCATATCGGTAATGGAATATTTAAAACGATTTCAACGATCAAAAAACGAACAACAATTCGACATGAACACGATACTAGAGATCTACATTCAATTCGATCTTCAACAATTTATTCAAGTAACAAAAATGAAGTAGAGAAAATAAAGCACAAAGCGAATATTATTATTCCACTCACTTCTAATGAAAATCCTTATGAGACAAAAAACAGTAAAATGAATGATAGCATGTCAAGTGTTTCATTTGAATTCAAAGACTTTGGTACTACTAATTTAATCAGGTTGAATGAAAAAAATTTTTTTGAGCACGAAAACAATGAAATTTCCCATAATATAGAAAACAATAAAAGTGAAGTCAAATCGCGACGATCACACGTAAACCGTATCGGAACGGCTATTGCTATACTCATGCTTGCAATCGGTATTGTCATGTTACTTTTAGGACCGCTTATAGTTATCATACGTACTTTTAATCATAGAAGGCGGACCAGAGAAATGTTAAAATCAAAATGTTATAACGATCAGCCGCCAACTTACGAAGAAGCAACATTAATGGATCAAGCACCAAGATATTCGACGCTCCAATTGGATACAATACTTGATTCTTCTTCTCTTTAATCATTTTGATCTAGTTTTTCTTCTTTTTTAATACACTTGATATTTTTATTACATTTTCTGTCAAATTTTCTTTATATATTTCTATTACTATTCTAAATTTTTTTTTTATTATTTTATTTTCTTTTGTTGCTTCATAATGATAAAAATTTTTAATTTAAGCAATAATATTTTATCTTGTAATTATACGTACTTAAATTAAAGACTATGTGTGTGTGTGTGTGTGTGTATGTATGTATGTATGTGTGTGTGTGTGTATATATATATAT